GAAGAAATGCCAGGTAAACTAGCTTATGTTTATTTCAGAGATGTGTAAATTTTTTCGGGAATTTAATTGGAAGGAAGAAAAAAAATTAAAGCACAAAAGAGCGTATAAAAAGAAGGAAATGGGGAGGGTGGGGAGGAAGAGGGGAAAAAAAGAGAGTAATGACTATTTTTTTGTTGCCTAAAATACTAAGTATAATTGGTAATTTGACTGTTAACTGCTAAGGGGGCTGTTGCTGTACGTTGTACAACACATCTATAATATCATCGTTATTTGCCACTAAGTGCTTCTAGTAACTTTCGGCTTATATCATCGTCGTTTCTGTTGTTATTAGTGTTGTGACGTTGACGTTGCTGTTGTCATCGTCGTCATTGCTGCCGTCGTCGTTATTATTGTTGATTTGTTTGTTTGAAATCGAAGATAACTCTTTTTTTGCTTTGCCTTGCTTTGCTTTTTTTTTCTGGTTACAATGTCAAACTATGAACTGTAAAGAAAAAATATTTTTATTTGATTTTTAAAATTTTGAAATTTGAAGAATGAATAAGAAAATAGGTGGGGAAAATTTTTGAATTGTTTTTCACTTAGATACATCAAAAAATAACTGAAGAAAAACGATTTAGAAAAGCGAAAAGCGACCAATTGTCATTTATATAATCATCATGATCATCATGACGATGACGATGACGATGATGATGGTGATGATAATCATCATCATTATCATCATCGTCGCCGTCGTCGTCGTTATCGCCAACGAATGAACGAATGAACGGATGAAAGAATGAGTGAATAGATGGATGGATGAATGAATGAATGAATGAATGAATGAATGAATGAAAAGAAAAGCACACCCAAAAATAGCTCTGTATTACCCGATTTTGTCTTTTGTAATGGTCATCGTCTGGTCGTTTGTCACTCATTTTGTTTTGGGGTTTTCAAATACAAAGAAACAGGAAAAGAGCGGATCAAACCTGTTGTATGTTATTAGCAGTTTGTATTGCGCATATAATAAGCACAATTTTTTCTTACATTTAAAATTTATATTCTATTTATTCAAAATTTATATATTTGAATAGGAAAAGACTAGACATATATTTTTTCTCACAGCAGTATTTATTGTGGTTGTTGTTGTTGTTGGTTTTTTTTTTTCTTGCATGATTTATGAAATTATGGAAAACAAGTTGAGATAACTATATTTGGAAAAAAAAGAAAAAAATTTTCTGAAAAAAAAAAAAAAAA